TCAACTCTTTCTGTACACCGTTATATTTGTGCCACAAAACCAACCAATCACAGACTTGGATGAAAAAAATCTGATTAGCTGTTTTGGTCTCCAATCAGCTCGAAATGATGAAATGTAATATCCCAGAATCCATTTGGTCCAAAACTCAAACAAAGCAGTGGCGGAGGAACACAGAGTGGCAGAGTTTGAAATATTACTCTTTCTGGATTACAAAATAAACTTTTAAAAATGTTTTCATGCGAGAATGTTGCTGTGCAAACTTCAAATATCTGCTCGATTTATCAAGACATCACATATTTGCATAAGTGCTCTAACGTTTTCGGAGATGCCTGTTACCCACCTGCTGACCGCATAGCTGGACTGGCCATTGGGCATACCGGGCATTTGCCCGTCGGGCCGATGGTGATTTTTCACTTTTATGTTTGTTTGTTTTTGTAACGGTATAAACAATAAAAGGTAGTGGATTAGCCACTTGGTCATGATCAACTCTGGGCTGGACCAATTACAATACATCCGTATTGAGGTGAAAAGGAACACGATTTATCCCGGACTTCAGCTAGAATGAAAAATAGACACAAAGCTGGAGTCATTCTGTGTTTTTTGCTGCACAGCTGCCTCTTCTCTCATTCTCTCCCTCCCTCTCGCCACTTCAATCATGAAACTGATCAATGATCAGCTGATCGACTTTTCTGCCACAAGTCCCATCTCTCTTGTTTGTTTATCGCCCACTTTGCGCCAGATTGGAGCTGATTGGAGACCAAAACAGCCAATCAGATTTTTTTGCATCCAAGTCTGTGATTGGCTGGTTTTGTGGCACAAATATAACGGTGTATAGAAAGAGTTGAATGCGCACAGGCAGAAATGTTGAGAGCGCGAGCAACACATTACGAGCAAGCGCAAATGCAAAAACTGAGTGTGTGTATGTGTGTGTGTGGATGATGGCAAACACTGAAATCCCCCCCCTTTTTTTTTTTTTTTTTTTTGCACGCAGCAATGAATTTTGTTCACTCAAATTTAGCTTGTCTTCGCTCAAAATACATTTCTTCTCAAAATGCAACACTTGCACATGCAATTTTTTTTTTTAACGTGCGCTCAGAATAGTGGCACAAAAATAACGCCATACATTCAGAGCATTTAGCTCTCTGGAGTGGCACGTAAAAGGCTGAATTTAAAAGTATCTGGGCTCCCTCTGATAGTGATTGAGAGCATTTGGAGTGCAAGAACTCTTTTGCCACATGCTCACTTTATGATGGCAAATGTTGTGTATTTGAAAAAGAGTGCACAGCTAGCAATATGATTCCTTATCAGTTCTCTTTTCTAGATAAGGGGGGAATATTTTCCACTATTGAAGTGTAATGTTGGCTTTGGTAATGCACCAGTTGGCCAGCATTCTCTGATAAGGAGATTTGTGAATGACGTCCACAGACTGAGGCCTACTATTAAGCCTGTTTTTGTTTTGTTTTGGGTTTTTTGTTGTT